CCAAATATCTTCCTAGCTACAAAATGGAAGAGTATTCGCTACTGGCAGAATGAAGCCTTTCATTGCTAGTGTCTGCGTTTTCCAGCTCTGGTAAACTGGAGGGTGGGAGATACTTGGACGTATTCCCTGGTATAATTGTATTTTATTGGAAGAGAAAGTGCTTGATTTGAGTAAAATGTGGTCAGTCAGAAACTGATTTTGCCAGAGTAGGAAAAAATTCAGTGTTAAATGATACTCTGATCCCCATGGACAATTTGAGATAAAGACTTTAACTTCTGGAGATGTAAGAAGGGGCCAACGGGCCTTATGGCTGAGGTTTTTATGTTTCTTTAACCTTGCATTAATGCAAGAGCTAAGGCATGTTTTCTTACATATGCTTTTTTTCTTTACTGAGATATTCTGACTGTACCTAAAAAGGGATATTAGGCAAAAAGGTAGATTGGCCAACTTGATCAATTTGAAGGCATCAAAGTAATATAAGCAGTGAAATGAAAAGAGCAGTGCCTTTAAATATTTGTAGTCCTAGTTCAGCCCAGATTTAGGAATAAACAATGGCCTTTGGAAGGTTATTTGCCATCTCGAGCCTCAATTCTTCATCTGAAAATTTAAGAAAGTGAACGAAATCAGCGATTCTCTTTGTCTATGTCTTCCCCACACTCATGAAGTTTGTAAACTGGAGCCACGTGAATTTTCAGTGGCCTGACTTTAATTATATCCCTTTCTTTCCTTCTCAGAAAGGCATATTAGAAGGCATGCAAGAGAAAGGAGCTGTATTTTCACACACACACACACAAAACCTTGCAGTGATCCCACTGATGTGAAAAAACTCACAAATTATTTCCAAATTTATTCTTATTAACAATAACAATAATAATGTATTAATAAAAGTTTACTTGAAACCCTCCTCACCGTTGCCACATACCCATATGTGATATAAATTATTGATAGAGACAGGAGGCAGCCAAGGGACCCCCACCCCGCAACCCCCAGCAAAATCCCACGTTCAAGCCTAAAACAGCCTGTAGGCTGAAAAACAGGACTGCCTGTCCTGGATGAGACCCGCCCTTTCCCCTCACTCCCCTGACTGATTCTTTCTGAATAATGCCCACCTTCACACTGGGAGGACAGGATGGGGCCTTGGGGAAGTTCGCACTGCAGCGTTTGGAGATGGGAGGAGCCGGGCCTCTCCTGTTCCTGTGTGGTAACCTGGTATTCAGTCTGTGAGATGGGGGCCTGTTAACAGGAACCCTTCTGGCTTTGCTGAGTTTTTTCCTTTTCACCCAATAAATTCCGCTCCCCCTCACCCTTCAAAGTGTCTGTGAGTCTAACTTTTCCTGGTCGTGTGAAAAGAACTCAGTTTTTCCTACAACGTTATTATTGATCACTGAATGACTAGTCGTTTCTAAGATACCTTAGATCATTAATAGTCTAAAATTGTGAAACTTCTCCTTATCTGAAAATTGAAGAATTCAGATAAAGGCTAACTTTCTGCAGACCTACTATTAAAGGTCTGGAAACCTGAAACTGTCAAAAATCAGTGGCTTATTTTATCTAAGTTAAATTACTAAATTACTAAAAATAGGAAACAAATTCCCCTGTTGGCCAAGGAAAACATCATGACCTCATTCAACTTTTGGTCCCTTCTCTTATATGATTTTCTGAAGTGAAGTGATTTTTTTTTTTTTTTTTTTTTTTTTTGAGACAGAGTCTTAATCTGTCACCCAGGCTGGAGTGCATTGGTGCGATCTCAGCTCACTGCAACCTCCGCCTCCCAGGTTCAAGTGATTCTTCTGCTTCAACCTCCTGAGTAGCTGGGACTACAGGTGCATGCCACCAGGCCCAGTTTTTTTTGTTGTTGTTGTTTTATTTGGTTTTTTTTTTTTTTTTTTTTTTTTTTTGTATTTTTATTAGAGACAGGATTTCGCCATGCTGGCCAAACTGGTCTCGAACTCCTGACCTCAGGTGATCCACCCACCTCGGCCTCCCAAAGTGCGGGGATTACAGGTGTAAGCCACTGCGCCCAGCTGAAGTGATGTTTTTAAAAGGCATCCATTTTAAGTTTTGACATTGTGAATAATCAAAGTGCGCTGTTTTCTCTCCTCTATTCGAGAACATGAATGTCTTATAATCACGTTGTCTGGATGTCCACGTGCGTATGGATGGGCAAGTGTGAGAGACGGGGGAACATAATGAGTTATGTGAGCCCTTATAGAGGTCTGGAATGAAATACCTGAGAACTCGTCACCTCTGGCTCCAGTCCATAACCTCCACAGAATTGGGTGGCTTAGCTCAATATTCTCTGAAGAAATTTCTATTTGTGAGATGAAATTGAACTGCACTTACAAATTTGTCTTTTCTGATAAAGAGATTTTTTTTTTTAGTGGTTTCTTAAAAAGCTCTAAATGGTTTCCCTAATAGGCAACGAATCACAGGACATTCTCTATTATCCAAACACAGCAAGGCTTTAGAGCCTTGTTTACGACATGGAAAGCCTGTGAATTGGGTGTTTTCAGCAGTCTTGGTTTCTGATCCTATCGATTTTGTTTAAAAAAATTTAACTGACTCAAAGTGATTGATCCAGGGGCTGTGTGGATGGTTTCAGCCTCATTTAAGCTATTATTTTATCATGTCCATGACGATATGACTGCTCACTTCAAAACTTCAATTCCTATTTTGTGGCACTATCAAACTCTAACCACATATTTCCTATTACTCTGGAGTGTAAACTCACGTGGTATGTTACATAATAAGGGCCCTCCACCTTTCCCAAGAGATGTGGGAGAAAAAAATCACTCAAATCCCTGTGAAAGGCTGAAAATCAAAGTAAAAATACAGAACAGGCAGAGCTGACAGGGAGTTTTTCTCTGTTGTTGAGGGCTTTGTCAAAGGTTATAGGTCTTGTTGGAGATGAGAAACTCTGAATTTATCTAGCTGACAGGTAGTGCAACTAACCAATAGAGTAGGAAAGAAAAATACCTATGCCACGTGAGAATGCATGTCGAAACCATGTCAACATTATCTCATTTTTCAATTGAGACTCACGCTATTGAGTTTCTAACAACATGGGTGACTCGAGGCTTTCACACTTTCAAATAGAAGGTTTGGATTTGGGCTGATTTAGCCGTACTTTTGCGCCAGCCCCCATTCACTGTGAGAAATAGCTAGCCAGGATTTTCAGAAGTGTAGTCTGGCTACTGGATATAGACAGTAGTGTATTAGCAAATACAAAAAAAAAAAAAAAAGTCCAACTATTTTGAAGAGGTTTTACTTGCAAAATTTAATCCATGATAATTATTTTAAAAATCAATTATCACTATAATTATCAAAAAAGAGTATAAGTTTAAGTTCCAGGCTTTGGTTATTCATTCAGTTGGGTGTTTTCAACTCAGTGATGATTCCTTGTTAAAAACTATAGAATAAAATGTCATCATCTTTTTTATCTGATATAACTCAGTGTAATGGAATACTAAAATAAATAATGAACATTGGTCTGTCACATTTTAGGTTTCATGTACATTATCTCACTGATTATCACTAGACTATGAATTCATGTAGCTGAAGTGTGTTTTTACATTATTTACCACTGTATCTCCAACTCCTTGATAGGACATGGCACAAAGTAGATGTTCAATTAATATTTGTTGAATGAATGATTGAACTACCCTGCAATGTAGTCAGAACAGGTATTATCCTTTTTTCCATTTTATAGGTGAAACAACACTGCAGAAAAGTTTAGTGACTTGTTCAACGCCATATAGCCAGCAAGGGTGGTGCTAGGCCTTGAACCTGGTTCTTTAGACTTTTCCCCAGGTTGTTATCTGATCTAACTCTGGCACTAATTGCTAAACTCCATAATCATTCTGGGCTTTTTTTTTTTTTACTTTATACTTAAAACTGGAGAAGTGAAACAATTTCAATTGAATATTTGAGCTGTCTAAGAAATAAAAATCACAATTCCTCCCAAAATAAAATAAGAGAGGGCATTATTTCATGGTTCTGAGGTCTCAGCTAGGTCTAATATTATGGGCTTAATTTACAATATTATTTACAGTATCATTCTGACTTCTGAGAGCCTTATAGTCACTAAAGAAGTAGTGCTAATGGTGGAGTCCAGAGAACCTAGAACTATCAGCTGGTCCAGAGAAGGGATGCCCAGGGCCACTATCACAGGTCCACTTCCTAATAATAAAAGAAAACTTCAGACCAAAAGCTTCTTCCTTAAGGAAGTCAGGGAGGTTGCTTTAGGTTATAAAGAGGCTCTGAAGAAATTCTATTTCATTATTAACGTGAAACTGTTCTAGAAGCTTTCTGGTAGTGATGTCTCCACCTGATGGCCTTGTTTACCCAGCTAACTCATGTCCCCTGTTCCCTTCCCCTTTCCCTTCCCCACCGACACACCACACCATCTTCAACCACATGCGCAATGGTTGTAAGCAGGATGTAAACTTTTATAATGAATTCATTGGAGACAATCTGCTTTACACACGCCAGCAAGAATTTCAGGGATGGTTTTCAAACTTGTATTTTATTTTAAAATGTCATTATCCCCATCACGTATAAGACTTCTTTGCAGCAGCTTTGTCGGTATTTATTAGTTGCTACTTGGAGTCTGTTTTTTCAAAGGAATGGATTAGTCTCAACACCTTAGAGTGATATATTGTTTTCTAGCAAGCCCAAATACAAGCGGAAGGCCCTGTGTAAATTACTTCCCCTAATTTCCTTCAGCCACTTGCTTGTTTAGAATGTACACAAAGGAAAGATGTCAAGAACGTTTAGTCTATTATACCCGCCATGGGCGGCTTCCCCTACAGCACACGGTGAAATCTGATTACAGAAGGACTGAGAAATGAAAGTTCCGCTGGAATTAGAGGCAGCTGTCTCAGATGAGAGTAAAGCAGAGCGTGGCACTACACTCTGCGGAAAGAGGCCTTACTGTAGAATAGAATTGTATGCATCACCATGATTCCTAAATCAAACCCAAATCTCTGACCATCACTTACCGAAAATTTCGAACCACGAAGCTGTGACCATTTCTAAAAGCTGCATTGTTCAACAGGATCCTCAGATTAAACAGCATCTTCTTTTAATACTGAAAAGGATGATTCTATGCTCTTGAAAACTCCACAGCAAGTTAGCCAGTGGGGGCCACCTAAAAACTAAGAAATGTGTTCAGTTGCAGTGAGGGAGCAAAGGTAATATCAGCCTTCAGCTTCCTTATCAAAGTCCCCTGGTTAGAGATACTGCAGGGCAGAGTGCAGGAGCATTTGAACTTCATGCCGAACTCCACCACTGTGTGTTTTTTTTTGGGGGGGGGGAAGAAATCCTGACTCTTTTATTGCCTGGCCTCCTCATTTTTCAAAATATATTTATACTGTCACATGCATGTACAAAATCAATTGACAAGTACTCATTGAGCATATAATATATGCAAGGCACTGCAGTACTGGCTGCTGTGAAGATGCGTAGAAGTAACTCACTCAGAAAATGCAAACTGGCATTGCAAAAACACAGAGGTAGATGTGACAGCCCTGAGTAGTACTATTTCCATTTATTTCACTTTTCTATCTCTAATTGCCAGTCTTTCCACAAAAACAAATACAAGTGCCCTGGAAGCTATTTTGGGGGTACAAGAAGATAGAGAAGGTATAGTAAAAAATATCTCAGTCCTGGAGCTTCCTTTGTGCCTTGCACATAAGTCTTCAATAAAGAAATAATTGCTGGCCAGGCGTGGTGGCTCATGCCTATAATACCAACACTTTGGGAGGCTGAGGCGGGCGGATCACTTGAGCCCAGGAGTTTGAGACCAGCCTGGCCAACATAGTGAATCCCCGTCTCCACTAAAAATACAAAAATTAGCTAGGCATGGTGGTGCACACCTGTAATCCCAGCTATTTGGGAGGCTGAGGCATGAGAGTTGCTTGAATCCGGGAGACAGAGGTTGCAGTGAGCCCAGATTGCACCACCGTACTCCAGCCTGGGTGACAGAGTGAGACTCTGTCTCAATAAAAAGACAGAAAGAAAAAGAAAAGACATAGTTGCCTATTGATTCTAACAGGAGCCCACAGTCAGTACAAGTGGTAAGTGGGGATACCATATACTCCTCCCCTAGCAGCCTATTCAGATCACTAGGGGGCCATCTGCAACTTCACATTTATTCATTCATTTATCCTCAGTTATAAATCAGATGATTTGAAGTCAATTCTGTATCAGATACCGGGCTACACTGAAGTTTCAGAGAGGGAAGATGACATCACCTTTGCAGAGTTCACAGTTCAGTAAAGGTAGTATGATTTATAAACAAATATCCATAATACAAGCCTGTAGGAGAGGTCCAGACAAAATTGTCCAGCTTCATTGAAGCGGGAAACCTCTAAGGTAGGAAGGGTAGGAGGAAGGAGAGGAGAGGTAGGGGTAGGGCTGCCTCTTCTGGTCAATTTATATGACTTTAGCAAACCCAAGTAAATATTTGCCAGAAGTTTGTGGGATTCCAAAAAGTGTTAATTAAAAACCAACTATGGCCACCTCAGGAGCCGAGATGTTTGTGATGTCATAATTAATACTAGTAGACAAATTAATATTGACACCATTTCCTATGATGTGAGATGAAGTGAGGGGAAAGACTGACATTTCCAAACCTCTACCAAATCTTCCGTTCTGGAAAGGATATTCCAGGCAGAAGCAACTGCTTGCAAAGGCACAGAGGTGAGAAGGGAGAGAGTGACTTTGAAAACATAATAAAGCATCTCTGAAGAGGCAAACAAGGCCAGTTATTGAATAGATTTCAGAGAGCAAAAGTGCTCCACATAATAGAGAAGTGAAATAGAATGTTTGCATGGAGCCTGAGGGAGATGAGGCCAAACCACAGGCTGATATAAAGCCCATAGCTTGACCCCGTATCTTCACTGAACTGTGCTAGTCATATACACAACTCATATTGGTAATGCTTGGGGAGAAATCAAGAAGTGTCTGCAGTTCCATGCTAGAGAGTACAGGCAGCATTTTGAGATGCCAAAGCAATTCACAAACCCTCCTAATGCTACGGATGCAGGATCTCAAAGCCAGAGGGAACTAAGGAAAAGTTAAGACACCAATAACTCCTAGAGAAATTGGAAAAGGGGAGCTGCACCACAAGTGGGATGAAGTTAAAAGCAATTTCACTGAATCTCAAAAGGCAGGACATCTCAATGGACTTGTTGAGGGGTAGATTTCAACTACCCATCTTCTGCTGATTGTGTCATATGTGGAGTCTGTGTTACTTTACAGGCTTTGATGTTCATCCTCAGAATTCATCCAGGGGCTCTTGTTGACCCCATGATTCCTCTAATTCAATTTTAACTTTCTTGTTTGGATACCTATCTAGTTCTCTTTGTTCACCTAGACTTTCATTCATCCAGTTTTCTCTGCCACCATCAATTGTGCAGCCATCATAAGCCAATCCTCTGCTGTGTGGGTTCTGAGAGACAGAGTGATAAAACAGGAATGATGAGTTCCTTCCAATATTCACCATTTGGAATGACTCCAGAATACAATTTCTGTCTCTGCTCTCTGACCCCAAACATCTTAACCAGGGAGAGGGGCTTGTTACCTGCTCCCTTGCTTCAAGCCACAGGAGACCTCCAGCTTGACTTGACCATCATCCAGCTTGTATCATCAGGGGGTGGGGATTAGATGGGATTCCTGAAAAAGGTGGCACTGATTTTTGATGAATTGCAAGAATCAGAAAATATTCAAAACTAGAGGGAGCTACAAAAGATATTGTAGCCAAAAAAGGAACCTGTGAGTAGATCCAAAGGAAGGAACAAATAGAGTGTGTAGGGTAACAACAAATGATACATAACTGGAAAAATACATTCCATCATTGGCCATTGAAATGAAGCCCCACCACCACCAAGCATGCTATGAAAACAAAAAACCATGAGTGTCTGTATCTTGTTTATATCCCCTTGGCATTCGGTCTTCCCCTACACACCTGCTGCTTCTTAATGCAAATACCCACTGCTGTTTTCTTCAGGATAAACTTCTCATATTCCTCACTCTTCATGTGGGTGGCTTAGTCCATTTTGTGTTGCTGTAATAAAATACCACAGACTGGGTAATTTATAAAGAAAAGTTGATTTGGCTTACAGTTCTGGAGCTGGGAAGTCCAACAGAATGGTTCTGGTGTCTGCAGAGGGTCTTTGCGCGTTGCCGTCCCATGGCAGAAGGTAGAAGGGCAAGAGAGGGTGAGAGTGACAGACAGAGAGGATTGAACTTGCTTTTATAACAACCTATTCTCTCGATAACAAACCCACTCCTGTGATAACCACATTAATCTATTCATGAGGACAGAGCCTTCATGTTCTAAACATCTCTTAACAGTCCCACCTCTTACTACCATCACAATGCCACTTAAATTTCAACATAAGCTTTTCAGGTGACATTCAAACCATAGCAGTGGCAACTATGAAGCATATTCTACATGCTCCCCAAAAGGTCCCCAGTGGAATTGAACCTCAATTGCCCACAGTAATAACCTGCTCATCAATCTACCCTGTATTAGCCACCTTCCCTTCCGTGTCTCATTTCCCTCACTACCCTACTAGTGCTTACTGGGCCTACCTCCCAAATCAACTACTTGAACCCAAATCCCTTCCTCGGTGGCTGCTTCTATGGAAACTCAACTTTTGCCCAGATCTGCCTTCTCAACAGTTTTGCAACACAGCTTCTTGTTCTTTTCCCCCTGGCCCCCCATCTTTGAGTTGGTACCTAGGTTTTCTGTGTCAACAACTTGGTCCCCAATACCATATTGCACCCTCACTCTCAAGTTCAGTCCCAGTTAACCTGTAAATAGTGGTATGCTGGTAAATGTTTAATAACTAGCTCTTCAAACAAACAAAAAAATAAGCTCTGAATTGTAGCAGTCTGACTTGTAAGGTGTAAATATTCCCACCACAGCCAATTTCAAGCTACTAATGTGACATCACTGAACACAGAGATGAAGAGAGAGGTATAAAAATAGTTCTTGCAAGCTCCTGTGAGCTGGCTCCTGTATACCACTGTCTAGTACTCCCATCCAGAAAGGAGGGTTGTCTCAAGGTTTGGAACAAAATATTGAAGCCAGATTGCTGAGGACCTTGAAAGCCAGATTATAGAGTTGAGAATTTAATCTGTAGTCAAAGGAAGATTATTACAGTTTTGGAGCTGGGGCAGACAAGAAGACATATGTCATTATTTGCATTGGGTTTTGAAACCATTAACCTGGGGCCATTGTGTGAGAAGTACAATATGAAGAAAATAGAGGCAAAGAGACAAAGAGGTTATTGTGTGACAAATATAAGGCCTGAACACATATTAGAGCTGTGGAAATCGAAAACAGGAGATGGATGCAAGAGAGATTTAGACATTAGAATTTGCCCATCAGGAAAATTGATTGGATGTTGAGAGAAGGGAGATGAAGAAGCTAATGAGATGCTAGGATTTCACATTTATCCTATTACTGAGAATAAAATTCCAAATAGCCAAATGTTGCTATTGGGGATATAAAGAATGTTAGTTGTCTGACATTTTGAGCTTTTAAGTATCTGTATAAACTTGAAATATTTCTTTGAAATTGCCAGTGTGCTTCCCTAGTGAAATCCAAGCACTGAAGAGGGAATCAATGTGATATAAAGGAAAGAAAGATGGGAATGATGTTTGAAGATCAGATGTGACCTCTGGCTCAGTCACTCGCTCATGGTGAATTTGGCTAAGTCATTCAGTACCCTCAGAGTCCTCACCTGTCCTACTAAATAAAACGAGTTATTATAGCGCTGTGGGAATTTTAACATGCTAATCAAACATGAGGTATAGTGTCTTAGAGACCGGGCATAGATAGTTATTATCAAAAAAATACTGCAAATGTGAGATCCATACAAAAAAAGACAGATGGCGATTACTGTAGTGCGAAGTTCTGATTTGTTTCAGTGTTACTAGTTACATAAATAATTTTTATAGCTGGTTGCCTAGAATCTTTAAGATCCTAAGAAGCCATGGCATTTGCATGCAGTACACACTAGTTAAGTCTTCCGAGTTCTGTGGGATTGTTGCTGGTGAGCTATTTTCCACTGGATATGGACAAAGAAGCTTGTATCCTTGTCTGAGACCAGTAGCCACCCTATGACAATGAAGGGAGGTAGCCTTAGAAGGAAGCTGTGGTTGACTGAGTGGAAGAAGGAAGGATTCTTAGTCATTTAGGACATCACTGAGTTGCAAAATTAACCAGCCTC